ACGAAGAATCGCGTAATCGACATGAAATATTTTTCGGTGTCTCAAATAATATTTTATTAAGAGTAGGACAATTTCTTCTCTATTCTTATAAAAAAAAAAAATTATTAAATACGAATTAACCTAATTTGACTATATTATTTTTGTAATATTATTAAATTTAATATAATTATAATTAATATTTTACTATTATATTATTATTATATTATTAATATACTAAATAAATTAAATTGATTATTAAATAATTAAATATATAAATATATTATCATATAATATAACTATTATAATATAATAATACTATTATATTACTAATATTACTATTATATCCATATATCCCGAAAGGAAATCATTATTTTAAATAAAAAAAAATATTACTATTATATTTGTAATAATAATAAAAATATATATGAAATAATTCTATGAACTTATTAATCGGAGATTAAAACAAAGATATGTGAAAAATGATTAAGAAAAAGATATGAAACGACATGTGAATACGACATGATTAATAAATTATTAATGAATATTAGAAGAATGAATCACGTGAATGTATATATGTATGTATGTATGAATGTATGTATATGGTGATAAAAAGAAAAGAAAAAAGAATTTATTTAACAAAGTTAAATATAATTTACTCATCCTCGAAATTCTTATTACGAATTTTTGTATTCATACATATACGAGTGAATATGTGAATTTTTGTATCACATATGAATACGACAAATATACAAACTGTATTATTGTATTAATAAAATCAACATTTACGATTTATAATTATAAAAATAAAAAGAGTAAAATGTTTTGTAAAGAATGTAAAAATATTTATACAATATTTTTATTTTTAATATTATAATAAATAATATAATATAATCATCATTCTTCGAAATATTTTAAACTTAATAATATTTTTTTAGAAAAATTTGTATCTATGTTTAAGTTTAATTTTGTTTCAAATAAATTTCATTTATTAATACGATACACATATTGTTGTAAAATATACAAAATATTAAACAATAAAAAATAAAAAATTCAAAGATATTTATAAAATATTTTTTTTATATTATATTTAAAATATATTAATCATTATTCTTCGAAATATTTTAAACTTAATAGCATTTTTTTTTCTTTCTGAAAATTTGTATCTATGTTCAAGTTTAAGTTTGTTTCGAATAAATCTCATTTATTAATATATAAAAAATGTTATATTTAATATATAAAAGATTAAATGTTAAAAATATATAAAAAATTAAATGTTAAAAATATATTAAAATAAAATGTTATATTAATATATAAAAAATATACAAAATATTAAACAATAAATAACTTTTACAATATAAAATAAACCTTTAAGTCAAATCATCAATTTAAAAAATTGAAAACAAAAATAAACAAAATTATTTTATACTAAATCAAATGGTTTAATTGATGAATCCTATATACGATTATATATATATATATATGTAGTTTTATAAATATATATTTAAAAGATCGAATCGAATTGCAAGTTCATTTATAAAAAAAGAAATGGCACATCAATGAATGCACGAAGAATGTAGGCACGTTTATAATGTGATTGACTTGGCTCTGAACTAACAAGTTTAAATATTCAATCATAGTTACTGAACTGGTTCAAACCGAATATAACATTATTAATCTTAAAGAATAATCTTTAATAGATAATCTTATATATCGATACAGAATGATAACCGTTCAATTATTCTAATCGTTTTACGAGATTTTATGCTTAACTTTTAACAAAATCAATATAGTAGCAAGATAGTAAATGATTATTTTTTCTCTCGAGTATTAATTAATTCCCATAGAGTCTCGTGTTAGATTACAAAAAAAAAAAAAAAGATACATTTTAAACCTTTAAATTAAAAATTTATTCATATTTCTTCATTGATTATTTATTTTACTAAAAAAAAATAAAAAAATATTATATTATATTTATTCATATTTATTTTATTTTTTTTATTTTTAAACGTTATATTTATAATCCGAATATTATATTGTTAAATACAATTGTAAATGTTTCAAATATTTTTACCGAATTAAATATTATATCTTATCAATCATATATATATATATATAATATATGTATATATGTATATAAATGACGTTTAAAAAAAACAAATACGTAAAGTGTAAAAAGTAAAAAAATTTATCATGATAAAATATCATGATCAACGTAATTTCCGATAAATTAATCAATCGAAAACAGAAGAAAGGGCAAATTTTTCTGTTACAATTCTTCGTAACCTATGACGATATATTAAAACGTGATTTATTCACTTGAATGTGTTCGATTGAACGAAAAGCGAAAGTATTTTTATGCATATATTTACTTTTACTACTACGTTTCCCCCCACCCCACCCCCACCCTTCTTTATTCTCTCTTTTTTTCTTTCACGGTCAAACGATTAACATATCGAGTTTTAACGGTGTACTCACTGCCATTGCAGAATAAAAATAAAAGAAAATAGTTTTATTGCAAATGTTACTTTTGTGTCCTTCGACATTGAGAAGGAAAAATGTCATTTCTTTCAATCATGATCGTGTAAAAAATTTATCAAGGTTACTTTTCTTTTACTTAGTAAATATATTTCATCTTTTATTCATTTAAAAATATTAAATATTAAGTTTTCTTTTTTATTTAGTATATTATTTAATTAGTAGAGATGGATATATTTATTTATTTATTTATAATCTGTTAATCTAGTACTTTAAAACATCAAAGTAATATAACGTAATACTATTAATAATAATAATAATAATAATAATAATAATAATAATAATAATAATAATAATAATAATAATGATTAATAATTAATAATAATAAGATTAATAATAATAGTAATAATAAAATATTAATAATATAAAATAATACAACGTAATACTATTAAATTAATATTATAATACTATTATTATATTATTAATACTATTAAATAGTATTATAATTATATTATAACACATAATCATTGTTATATTAATTGTTATACTAATAATACGTAATATTATTTAATAGTATTATAATATATATAACATAATTATTGTTTAAATAATCTTTCTATGATTTTAATTATCGTTAAAAATTATCCTTTCCCTCCTGCAAAAAAAAAATGCATCTCTCCTTTCATCTTCAATTTTTCATCGTCATATTTTTCTAATTTCAAAATTTAATCCTTCATTTAATAATAATAAAGAGAGACAGAAAAATAAATATGAATTAATGAAAGAAAATATTTTTCATTATCAACGGAAAATTTCTAAATCCATCCTTTTTTAAATTTATTCGTAATTTTTTATTATTATCATATTTTTTGCTAACGAAAGATGCGGTCATATAACCCTTGTTTTAATACACACAAAAAAAAGAAGAGAAAATAGCAAAAAAGAGAGAGAGAGAGAGAAATTAAATGGTTAAAATAAAAAGAAAAATATTATTATAGTTGAAATTATGCATGCTCGTTGATTTAGATCAACGTTTTCTCATAATCAAATTTTAACACTAGATATACCACCATTTTCAGTATACTTATTTCTACCACACTAATCAAAATAACTGGTGTATACAAAAAAATGACTTTTTAAGGCTTCTAGTTTTTATTTACTCTTAAAAAATAACAAAAAATGTTTAACAATAATAATTTTAATAGATAAATCGATTTATAAACATTTTTAAATAACAAAATGCTTAATTATTTACAAAAATCAAATGTTACATGTGTGAAGTAGAAATTTTGAATTAAAATGGCTGGTCTGGTATATGTAGTGTTAAAGAACAAGTTTTATGAAAAAGGATACATTCGAAAAGAGACGAAATTCGTAGGCGTATACTTAAGATGCTAAAGAAAAAGAAAAAAAAGAAGAAGAAGAAGACAAAAAAATTACAACGTAATAAGTTATACATATACATATATATATAATAAATATATGTATATAGGTTAACGTTTTGTCATAATCAGATTTTAAAAGTAAACGTGTTATGAAAAAGGATAAATTCAAAAAGAGACAAAACACGTGGGCGTATACGTTGCTAAAGGAAAAGAAAAAGAAGAAGAAAAAAAAAATTACAACGTAATAAGTTATATATATAAATAAATATATGTATAATGTATAAGACGATATGATATAATTTAATCGCGATATGCAATCGACGTGAGTTATACATACATAATAATTACAAGACGTTAATTCATTATTATTTGTTCCTCTACTATTTGTTCAAAGTATTAATTACAATTGTATGCAAAGATTACATCGAAATACCGATATTATGATTAATGAAGATAAAATTGCACGTTACTGGTGAAGAAGAAAAAGAACAACAAAATACTCCAAATAATAATTAAAAAAAAAAAAAAAAAAAAAACCAAAAGAAAAGAAAAATAACCTTGAATAAAAATTGAAGAGAGAAAAAAAAAGAAATGAAAAAAAGATAAAGAAAATTAAATAATTTATAATTGGCGACAATTTTATAATTTAAAACGAGTAATTAAGATTTGCGTCAGATAAAAAGAAAAACGAATATGAAAAATATATTTCTACGATAAGAAACCATTTTAGTTAAAAAAAAAAAGAACGAAAAAAAGAAACAGGTAATGATAATATAAAACAAAATTATTTTAACAAAAGTCAAACGATTTCGTTTAAATAAAATAAATACCTTGAAAAGTAATTATTATTATTATACTATAAATAACCATAAAAAGGTGATAAGAAGAAAACAACAAAAATAACCCAATTGTAGTTGCTGTAGAATATACGATCTATACAGTAACCCGTGTTAAAGGGCATAAAAGATAAACAAATGTACATATACACACAAATATATATATTATATACATATACCAAAGAAAAGATAAGTTAATTGTCAATATTAACAAAGATTAACATTTTTTCTCGCGATAATCAATATGTAACATCTTTTTCCTCTTTAACACTTATTTTCTGTTTTTTCTTTTCTTGTTTATTTGTTTGTTCATATTAAGACTCACCGTACTAGCCGTAAATCCTAAGTTGTCGTGCGACATCCTTCCCCGATTGATGATGGATGGATGGATGGATGGATGGATGGATGAATTGGATCGATCGATCACAAGTATCGATTGTTCACGAGTTTTTTTCACTCTTTCCTTTTCTTTTTTTTTTTCTTCTCTTCAAGACTTCTTTCTTCCTTTTGTAATTTCTTCGAATGTTATATGTGTATGTGTATATATTGCGGCAACCGTGTATATGTATATATGTATGTATGTATGTATGCAACAAAGCAAACTAAACGCGATCTTTGTTAATGACCGTTAAATATTCGATCGATCAGAAAACAAATAAATAAATCGATCGATCGAACTAGATCGATCTTTCGAAAGAAATTTTTTTTATTCTTCGGAAAAAATTCAATTATTAATTGTAATTGAATTAAAATAACAATAATAATAATAATAATAATAATAACAAGAAGAAGAAGAAATGTTATATGTATAAAGGGAATATAAGGAAAAAAGTTTTTCAACTTTTTGTTTTGTTTGTTTCAATGATAAAAAAAGAATATATGTATATGTATGTATGTATATGTGTATATATATATATATATGTCGAAGTAAACTCTAATTTTCTTGTACAGTATTAACGTTGCATTTTATACCGTGACAGGTACGGCGGCCGCAAGTCAACTGATTTGTCTTTGCGCGAAGTATTATTTATATAGTACACCACGGCACGCGGGTTCGCACTCCTGCCATTTCGTTTTCCTCTCTGTCTCGTAAGTAAAGATCGGTAGTGAGTGTGTTCTCTTTTATCCTCACACAATCGAATATAATTTATAAACCTATAAAGGTTTATTTACAATAATGTAAATATACGTATTTATTTCTATCACTATTTTCCCTCTCTTTCTCTCTTTCACTACATATATGTATATATATATATTATTTAAATATTATTTTGACTATTATTTAACTTCACTATGTTGTAATTTTACTATTAGTTAACTTCACTCACAATTTATGATACATTATTATTTCTTCTTCTTATTATTATTATTATTATTATTATTATTATTATTATTATTATTATTATTATTATTGTTAGTATTGTTATTAATGTATTTTAAATTTACAATTTTAATTTTAACAATTGTTTGAAAAATATTCTATAAATTCCGTTAATGTTATTCAATTCACAAGTATAACTATGATATATATATTAATTCTTATTATTATTACAATTATATATATATGAAAAATATTTGATTAAATTAAATTCACTATTATTAACACTCACAATTATAATATATGTAATATTTTTTTGTTTATTCTTATTATTACTATTATATTGTTATTGATTTTTTGATAAACATATGTTATGTGTACAATATATATACATATATTTATATAATATATTTATATAAGAGAGGAGAAAAGAAAAATGATGATCGATGTGATCCTTTTGGATCAATTGATAGAAAAAACACACTTATAAATTATAATTTTAATCTATACACCGAAGGAGAGTATTATATATTAAAATTATATGTATTTTTGTTTGTATTATCCTTAGAAAATATTTCACGAAAAATGATTTATTTGAAATGCACGTTTGTCGTTGTAGAATATACACGGGACAGTACTTCGAAAGACTAATCGGTATACAATAAGTCATAAGTTTATAAATAGATTATGTTTGAAGGACCTAAAAGAAGGGGTGAGGGGTTAATGGAGGGGTTGTTAGTAGTCTACTGTAAACGAACTATTCTATCTTACGATATATACAGGTATATGACAGTTCTGCAAATCTTTCTTCACGTTCTAATCTGTGTATCTTCTATAATCAACAACGAATTAAATTATTCATTATATCGGATCATTTTTTTTTTATTTAATATTTTAATTTATACGTAAATAATTATTGACAAATCGTGTATAAAATTATTCCAAGAAATTTATTTATTATTTACTTGGAATATTTATTATACTTTTTTTACCATTTCTTATTTGTTTGTCGTAAGAATATTGTAAACGATATGGAAAATAAATTGTTATTGAGGGTAGAGATAGAAAAAAAGAAAAAAAAAAAAAGAAGGCGTGGAAATTACAGATCTACAGGTTGAATTATCGTATTTATGTAGTATATCTTGATAATGTTTGTTCGATTCATATCAATCGAATTCCAACTCTTAAGATTGTCGTTTTATCTATCATTGGGTAACGGGGTAAATAACATACGCAATGTAAAAAAAATTTGAATATAGTAAGATATAAAAAAAAAAAGAAACAAAATTAATGAAAACAAATGAAACAATAAATGGCAAATGTTAGGAAAAATCTAAAGTTACATTTTTTATAATTCATTTTAATTATTGAAAATTATTTCATTATTCATTTATATTTAATAGACATTTTTAGACCTTTCTTATGGGATATTAAATTTATTACATTTGTAAATTGTTGTTATTGTTTTCACATCTTTTTTGTTCTTTTTTTTTTCAAAATACACTTATAAATATATTTTTTTAACAGCAAGTGTTAAAGTATTCGATTAATTTTTTAAATTTTAGGTAACATTTTTCTTATTTTGTTCCATCTATTACGCAATATTATACATATATATATATTTATACGTACATGTGTCCTCATATATGATAAACATTTTTGTTGTTTGTTGTCATTGAAGAGAGGTAATATTGTTAAGAATAATCAAAACACGTTTGACTTCTTTCTTCCATTTGATAATATTGAGTTTAATAGAAAAATTCTTATTCATTCGAAGAATAATATAGATAATGATTAAAAATATGATTAATTAAATAAACTAATGTAAGATCTTATTTTCTTTCTTTGTTTGAGGAAAAGATAAAAAGGGTAAAGACTTTAGAGACAAATGTGTGTAACTTTAAACTTAATCCATGTTAATTCGTTGGAATTCTAATAATGAATAAACTCATACAAGAGAGATCTACTAATTTTAACGAAGGACGTTGTGCTTTACATCGTGATTCACCTGATCTCATCGAGCATCCAACCTATTTTCTTATCATCATAACGTTTCAAGGCTAATAATAAGACAAAGAACAAAATTATAACTAAAGGATAATTATTTCATTTAAAAGACGCTATTTTTATCTATATTTTTAATTTATTTTTTCTTTATTTTAATATTATAATTAAAATAATCAAAATAAAAATTTTATAATATAAATTTATCTAATATTTGATTTATCAAAACTAAAATAATCTAATATATATATATAGATTTAAATTAAATTTAAGGAAAAATGTTTATATATATATGTAGAGAAAAAAAAAGTATACAGTATATTTCACTTTTTAAAATTACAAGCATTCATAGATATATATATATATATTTTCTTTTTTTTCTATGGAGATATATAATAAAAATTTAATATATAAGGTATATGCATCGTCATATAAAAATAATAAAAATCTCATGCAGAAATAATATTATTTTTTGTCCTTCTCTTATCTACCTGATCGAACCACGTTTTTGTTTTACTACTTATATTTCATTGTTTGTTTGATAAAGATCTTAGATATACAATTAGTTACATACACAGATTGGAAGTTTATAAAAAAAAAAAAAAAACGACAAACAAACGAGGTTGTAAACAAAAATATACAATAGGAACAGTAGGATCTTTTTTAAACCGGTAATCTATTATCTTGAAGACAATCAACGTAAGACATTTTAATAATAGTATAGAATTTAATGGTCATAGAATTTAGCATGACTCGTTTTGATAAGTATTTCTTTTTTTTTTTTTTTTTTTAATTATTTAAACATCCTATGAAATATTTCACATTTTATTATTTTACAATTAATCAAATCATTTTTAAATCTTTTAATAATCTCTGATCGTTCCTTTTTTTTTTTTCATTAAAATTAAATATAAGTTTGATCACATTGATTAATAATTCATTTTCTTTCATTTATTTTCTCTCGATTTTTATAATATGTTTATATCTAACATAAAAATAAAAAGATATAGAGAGAGAGAGAGAGAGAGAGAGAAAGAAAGTAAGATAGGATGAGTAAAAAATTTCGAAAAAATATATTGGATAATTACACATGTAATTATTTTTCTCGACGTGTGGGAACGTTACAAACATAATTATATTTCAATTGTTTTTCCTCTCCATGTTGTTCTAATAATTTAATCATTTCTTTTTACAATGTTCACATTGTAATAGACAGAATGATTTCAATTTGATAATAAATGAAAATCACAAATTCTAAAACAAGCATGATAGATATTTTTAAATGCAAAAGAGAAAACAAGCGGAGTAGTACTGTATTTTAATTCGGTTTGAAAAAATTTCAAATTTTTTTTTTTTATTTTGTTTTTCTTCTCCTTTCGATAAAATTCTAAAATGTTATTCAATTTTGCATATCATGCATTCTGATTCTATTTTAGCGGATGAATTTTTAATAAGAGATATTTCGTTATCATATTAAATCAAATTTAAAGAGAGAAAGAGAGAAAGAGAGAGAGAGAGAGAGAGAGAGAAAGAGAAAAAGAGAGAAAGAGAAAAATATTTGGCCAGTAAAAGAATCTTTGTAAGCATAGATTACAGGCACATGCTATTTACATATTGTTTCTTATCTTTTCTTTTTTGCTTTTTTCGTTCACTCTTACATTTAATATAAATCCGTTTAAGACATGATTTTTTAGATGTATATGAAAAAATATTAATATTATAATATTATATTATAAACATAATATACCGCATGCAGAGATGGTATAATTATTATATCGTTACTAAATGATTATTATTATTATTATTATATTTTATACATTCTCACATATGCATGAGATGCAACATGACAATATAGAGAAGATTGAGATGATATCTTATTATTTTTACAAGATATCAAAATTATTCGTTATTTTTTTCTTTTTTTTTAACTTTCTTTTCTTTTTTTCTTTTTCTTCTTTCGTAAATAAATTTACAAGATCAAAGAGGCAACAGTACAAAAAGTAGGCGACTTTGAAATAATATCAATTAAGTTCCCAATTATTTCCTTACTTTTTGTATCGATGTCTTTTGAATAATTGGTGAATAAATTTGTTCTTTCCCCATGTTTTTTTTTCTTGCCATTTTCTCTTTTTTTTTCTTTTTTTTTCTTTTTTTTTTTTTTTAGAATCCTGATAACCCACATATATGTATAACTCTTATATATGTATATTTAACAAATTTAATAATTCTAAATTATACAGTGCTTAGATAAGAACTCCATCTGAAAATATGTAATGATTAATGAATTAGCAGGTGAGATTTTTCCTATAATCATTGGTTGTCTCATACATAACAGATCCTGGAAAATATTTCTTCGCATAATGCAAAGTTTTGTTGAATATATGACTGTAATGAATGATAGGAATCATTATTAGTTGTCTTATCTTTGTTTTAAAACATAGGTACACTTTTTCTTATGTCAAAAGCCTTGTTATCTCATCCGCAATTCCTGACAGGAGAGAATTATTGTCACCTTTACCTTCGATCAACAAATTACCTGTCGATTTCTAAAACACATTGAAATAAATATTACGCTCTTAACATAGAAATAATTAAAATCAATATAATATTCTATTGAAACTCTTACATTATATTTTAATAAAAGGCACACATGATGTCCCTTCAATGAATGACCATACAAAGATGCAGTATCATTTATTTGTTCCACGAGAGTTAGATTGCACTTGCAACAGACAGTATTCAAAACTGCATTAAATTCCTGAGACAAAAGAATTTCTTTTCTAATTCTAGAAACTAGTTGACCGCTTTTAAGTAGCTCCGTTAGTATATCCTTGTGGGACAAATGTCCAACCATAAATTTACTGCACGACAAATTTATAGTGAAATCAAGTTTTTCTTGTATTGTCCCATCCACATTTTCCAACATATACGTTAATGTACCTCTTAATTTTTGAGCAAACGTTACGTCGGATATTAATATTGTAAATTGAGTCTCTTTACTTGATTGTGGAGGTAGTTGGAATGGCAGTTTCATTCCATATTCTTCATCATCCTGTAAAAATAGAAGAAAAAAAAAGAAAATTTTCAAAATGTTCATGTAACAATACAAAAATAATATACACCGTAATAATAAAAGACAAAAAAAAATTACATTTTTCATTAATTTCAATGTTGACGTATCCGTAATATCGAACCTTATTTCTTTAACAAGCTTTTGCCCTATATTAGTAATGAGTATTGATACAATTATTTTACTAGTGTCATCAGCAATTTGCTTTAATTCATACATCATAGAAATAGTTTTATTCTTAGATAATTTTTCATAAGCGATCAATGGTTGAATGGAATTTAAACTATTTTCAGTAATAACTAAATCATTCCTTAATTCTGGCAATATTTCTTTGGAGGGTGTAGATATACCAGCTGTTTCTTCATAATCTGATGATTTCTTTTCTTTCTTACTTTTGGATTTTTTCGATTTTTTATGTTTTATATCGTCGTCCTTAACTTTTTTATGTTTATCCTGGCTCTTAGATTTTTTTCGCTTACTATCCTTTCGTATATCTACATTTTCTTTACTATTCACTTCAGTGTAATCTTCTTGAATAGAGGAAGAGCCTGGTTCTTCGATATTATCTTCTAACCACATATCAGTCATATTTATTTGATTATCAGCCTCTTTTTCTTGAACACATTTACTCTTTCTTTTAGTTTTTCTATGACCCTATAAATACACAAATAATAAAATATATATATATATATATTGTATTCTCTTTTATACATCATATGTAATGAAACAATTACACATTTATAATATATATAAGGTGACTAAATAAAGAGATTCATAACTTCTCGTCAAATGATGAAAAAAACATGAACCAAAAAATGAATATTTTCAAAGTTAGAAACAATATCTTGTTTCGGTTAAAATAAATACTTGTATGACTAATATTATCTACTCTAGAAGTTATAAACTTCTAGATCTTATGTATTATATATCAAGGAAGGTAAAACAAAATATTACCTTATCTTTCTTTATTGTCTTCGCTTCTTTGACTTTCTGATTTGGACTATTCTCTACCACTCTATGTTCCAAAACCGGTAATCTTTCATCCTCTCTTAAAGGCATGTCTAAATCGATATTTAAAGCTCGATGAGGATCATTTGCATCGATCATATCATAATCATCGCTATCACTTATTTCTGCTCCTGGTGGAAGTTCACCAATACCTGTATTTACAACTTGCATAGGATAATCTTCTTCACGTTCATCTTCCGATGCAGATTGTTTATCTAATAAGGAAATAATAGTAAAAAAAAAAAAGAGAAAAAATAAAAACAATGTACATAAAAATAATAACGTAATAACGTATCTTAATTGATAATTAATAAGAAAACATACTCTTGCATAATGTTAATGTGTAAAAGAGAAATAATTACTTTTTTTCGATTTCTTTTTCTTGCCATGTTTTTTATGTCTTTTGTGATTATTATCCACATTTATATTGTGATATTTACTGGTATCAGAATAATTCGATATTTTTAATGATACCGGTATGTCTAATTCAGCAACTGGAATGTTTTCAAAGTCTTCGTAAAGAGACGTTGAATTATGATAAGAAGCGGAATTTTTAAATGATCCTTTCAAATAATGAGGATTATTTTGTTGTTCCAATTTTCTGGCCTCTCTCCTTTTCTGAAGTTCTTCTACCGTAGGTTCATTCGTTTCTCGTTTCATAAAGGAATTATTAGATTTTTCTGATTTAACAAATATCTCATTCATATCCATATCTTCAGAATCAGAGCTCTCTGATGGTGGATCATTGATCCATGAATCTAAATCTAAATCATCAGGGATAGGTACCTACAAAAAAATGTATTCAAAAATGAATTAATATTAAAAGAAAAAATTATTATGAATGAAAAAATTATGAAATATATATTTTCTTTTTTAACAAAAATAAATAATATATTGTATACATATATACCTTTCTTTGAGCTTTAGGAGCAACAGGATTAAGTTCACCTTCAAACGCTTCCATTAATTCTTCAGCCATGCCAGGATTTTCTTTCAAGCATTCAAATAAAACTAATGCAGAACTAGATCTTTCTTGAACCTCCAAATCACCGCTACATACAAATGCTGCTATTTTATCTTTCAACGCAAAAATCTAGAAAATCAATGAAAGACTATAAATAGATTGGTTACATTACTGTTTAAATTTAAATGCAATCATTTGATGATATGCAATGATTTTACGCATAAAAAAGTATAATTTACTTGTTCCATCGTTTCGCTGTCACCTTCTTTCTCAGCTTTAGATAATATTGCCGTAGCAAGTTTTAAGATATTATGCACATAAACTGCTTGAATATGTCCTGGCAAACTAGATGCTTGTGATCGCAACATTGATTGTAAAGTTGCTAAAGGATCTTCTAGTTCGCTATTGATATTATAAATTTTCAAATAAAAATTTAAATATGTTATTTAATGAAAATATTATGCTACATATAATTTATTACCTAGAAAACTCTCCACATATCCAAGCAGCTGCATATAAAACCTCAGACATAGTAGCTCGTGGTTGACCAGTCAAAAGATAGGAATTTTCAAGTAGTAAGGCACATTGTTGAACTGCATATTTACGTATAGCTTGTACCCGGATCGCTACATCAAGTAATTGAGTTGCTACTAATGGTCCATGCTTGGTACCTTCCATTCGTGTGAGTTCCACCAATACAGATATGTACCTATAAATATATAACTTATATACAAACTATCAAATATTCATTTAATTATTATACTATCAAAATATATTATTAATTTACCATTCAAAATATGTTATAAATTGATAATTATTTTGAGAACAAATTTGTATGATCTTTGAAAGTAATTCATCTCTGTATGTAGTGCCTTCAGCTTTGTCCATGTGCACCATTAATTTTTTAACTATTTCCATTAAATTCTTTTTAGATACCATTCCATACAATAAATCCAAGGCACGCAATCTTATACTTTCATCTTTATCATCAAGACATTGCATAATAAGATCTTTATGAGCTTGTACACTTTTAGGATGTGTCCTTAATATTTTTGACATTGCTAACAAGCCCAAATATTTTAAATTTTGATCAGAATCTTCTATTAATATTCTTAATTTCTGCACGCAGAGCTGTATTGAATCTGAATGATTTGGCATTCCAGACGATATAGAAATCAATACAGCTATTACGGTGTTAATGCACTCATACAGCAAAGACATAGCAGATGTACTAAAAATAATATAAAGATAATTTTATTAATGATATTAATAACTTATTCATAACTTATTAATAATCCTTGTTAATAAAAGCTAGAGAATAGCCGAGACAAACATATATATACATATTTATATTATATAATACATGGAACTATTTTCCTCTCTATGATAAAATCTACAAATTATTGGGATATATGGGAAAGGAAAATATCAATATAAATACGTTAAATACCTGTGTATCAAATTGGTAAGGGGTTCTATTAGCTTTTTGCCAAGCCTAGGTTCTAGAGGTGTCAAGGCGCCAAACTGTAAATATAATTTTAGTTGCAATCTAAGCGATATGTAATAACAAACAATATAAATATTTATAGAATATATATATACATATATATATATATTCTATAAATCATTTATAGACAACACAGAATAAAATCAATAATGACGATACTTTTATACTTCTACCATATCTTTACTACTACTATGTGATCTAAATTAAATATATATCAATGCTTTTTTATATCAAAATAATCAACTAGTAAAAAAACCTTGAAATCAGGTCAATTAGTGGTTGAGTAAGTCGCCGACCCATTTTCGGCTCAATCAGTGTTATAGTGGAGAACTGAGCAAGTGAAATAAGATCAACATTACTAGGCTCGAAGTTAAAAATGATATATATATATATATAAGTATATATGCATTCATTGATAACAGCTCTTATGTCTTTTTATATCAAATTTAAATCTTTCTGTGTTTAATTGATCAATCGATGTATTAATATTACAGAACAGACTTACCAATTTGATTATTTTAATTAGCATCCAGTTATTAGTCGACGTTGTCATTAATTTGAAAAATACAGGTGCCAAGCTTAAATAATTTTTTGGATTCTTCCTTGCTAATTCGCAAACTACATTGACTGCTGCAGACTGTACACCACTGTCAGGATCTTCAAGTTTTTCTTTCAATCTAGGAAAAGCAGGCCTTAAAGCTTCTGGAAATCGCAAGAACACCTTGTACATCATTAAAACTGCTTTCTTCCGTAAATATGGCTTTGTAGATGTTAATAGAGTCATTATATCATTAACTAAATCACGTGCCAGATCTGGACTTATAAAGCAAGATAAACCACTAAGAGCCAATCCAGCGTCGTATTGATTTTGACTATTTAAGTCTTTGCGTATCATGTTTGTAGTCAACATTAAAAGCTGTAAGAATTAAATTAATAAATAATTCTTTTTCATTCTAAAATGAAATTATTTATCTTAAGCTATTTGTATGTCGAAAAACGAATAGAAATCATACCTCTGTATCTGCGTGAAAGCTTTGACTACCTGCTAAATATCCAATGCGTTTATAGGTGAATTTAGCAGATGACATGACCTCAATTATATTAAATCCAGCCCAACTAATATCGTAGCCTAACATTTGCAACTATAAAAAGATAAATAACATTAGTAAGTCGTACTATAGATTTAAATAGAAAACAACATAATTATCTAGTTAGAGATAAAGTGATAGTTTAAAATTAGCATATGAAACCCTCACTTACATATGTTAACTTAGCAACTGCATTTGCCTTTACCGCAATATTATCCTGGCGTAATTCTTGTTTTATTTCTTCTATACATTGTGCAATATATTTTGCCTAACACGATAAGAAACAAATTCATTATAAAGAGATTTACCTTTAATTCAAAATTATTACAAAGTTAGGTTAAGTTACGTGTCATTTTTGTTATTTTTATAAAAATAAATATAAATGAAATAGACAAAATTATATATAAAATTACATTAAAATTTACCTCATTCTCTTTATTATTTCTAATGCCACGTACTAAATCCGTCAAATTTTTGTCGAACATTCGTTCGAAGTTTCCTTTTACTTTACGGAGAGCCATAACTGGTATTTAACTGGTTAGATACTAGAACGAACTCTCTTGATCACTCGTAAGGTTTCTTTCTATCTTTCCTTAATATTCCGAGTTAATCGGATAAATTGCATCGATTGCATTACCGTACGATTAAAAGTTCTTTACACTTCGCACAAGCAATATCTCTCATTTACATTTTAATTTGACAGGTAGGTAGGTAGATACGAGAACTACTAAAAGATCATACCTATCTTATGTATTACATATGTAGTACCAAAGACTTGTTAAGAATAGATGTATACCCGGTGTTTACTAACGAAATTCGCGACAATTTTACGAATATATTTGATTTGATTTGTTTTCTTTTTATTATTATTATTATTATTATTATTTTTTAAATTTTGCTTAAATTTATTATTTCTTTATTTGTTCAAACCAGATCACTGATTTATTGTTAAACGTATGAACAATTGTTAATAACAAGTGTGCGCATGAATTTTTGATTGATTAATACTCAATCTCTCAACAAGCTTATCTAATAGCCAAATGATGATAACCCAACACTCCCATAAACAGATTATTCTAGTAGACAAATTAACATCGATAAATTAACATTTTTGCTGCGATGATAATGTAGATTATTATTACGAATATCTATAGATAGATACATAGTTTTGTATTAATCCTTTTTCTTTTCTTTTGTTTTTCTTTCTTTTTTTGGATCGCTCAAAAATACCAGCTGAAAATAAAATCTACGTGAAAGATGATAAAGTTTCCGAGAAGTAAGAAGAGATTTATTTGTTACTATTTTTGTCCTATGTCTTTGTTAATTTTTTTTTTCCTTTCTTATCCAGAATAAATCTCGAGCCAACTTGAAGGCCTAACATTCGAATGTGTGTATCGTATCGATACCGAACACGTCCTAAAAATGCAAAGAAATATCACTTTTTTTTCGATATATCGAACTATTCATTACGATAAATTATCTTAAGCGTAGATTGGTCGATAACTTTGAATTTCATTGGATAATTTTTAAAGCTATTGAACTATAAAAAAAATTTGTTTAATTTTATTAAAATAATAATTTATATTTCAAATGATTTATACATTTTCAAATTTTTTCTTGAAAAATCAGTCTTACCAATAAAGACACATAAAATGAATTTAATAATTCTCGAAATTACGAAATTATTCGATTTATAATAACCAGTATAAAAATTCTGTTACATAAATAAGAAAATCATCAGATTACTTCTATTATGGAGGGTAGAGGTAAGGAGTAACATCTCTGTTATTTCTGTATATGAAAAGTGTCCGTCGAAATGTATGCAATTCGAGTGGCGCCACAATTCGCAGAGTGTCAATTTTAAAGGAAGCGCCAAATATTATTAGAGTAGGATTGAAAAATAAACAAGGAACACAAATTTTACCCATAACTGTTATGTTATTCACATACTTTTTCATAAAATTAAATGATAAAAAATCAATAAACGTACTATTCACAATTCATGAAATAAAATCACTCTAGCTACACGTTTTCTCATAATAATTCTTTAAGGTTATATTTACTACATTATTATATAACTCAGCATACTTCAATTCGTTTACAATTGCTACATTCATACCACACCTCTATTTTCACCAGCGCCATTCTGCAAGGTTTTTGAATTGTTATTGACAGAAAACGCTGGACACTTTTTCATATTTTCAAAATCTCGTCCGAGAAATTGTCAGATTTCAAATTTTCCCGGGGCGTACGATAATTTTCCGGCGCGTACCATAATTTTACGCCCCCGTGTCGATCAAACGAACTAAAGTCTCTGGGATCACTGTTTGTACATCTCACTCTCGACTGTGGCGTTGTACAGATAGCACGTGCCTTTATAAGTTTGGTTGTACAAGACACAATACAGCTACAACTAAGTTTCAGAAGAATATATAATTACAGAGTGTCCTTCCTGATTTTCCACAAATTACCACAATCCATCAGGTTAAGGACTCAGCACGCCCAGGACTTGTTTTCTTATCTCGAAAGAGATTAGAAAAGGATAGGCTTTGTGTAGTACAGCGAATCGTACATAAAGAGTCTTGACGAAGATTAAGTGCCTTCATTTTAGAAGAAAATTGAATAAATTGGTAAGTTTTTGAAACTACCTTAAGAAGTGCAATTTAATTGCAATATTTAAAAGAAGTAAATTTAGAAGAAAAAAAACTGAACCTAAAGGACAAAGGTTTAAGTACCTTGCGTGCTATTAGAAGGAAAAATTCTTTTTCCCCAGTATCTGTTGTCTCTTGGCGTTTGATTATAATATTTTTTTTCTCAGATTAATTGAAAAAAAAAAAAAAAGAAAGTAAAATTTTTCTTTCTTGCTTAAAAGAACAATATTCGTAAAAAAATTGACTAAAATTTTTCTTGCTTGAGATGCAATATTCAAAAAAGAAAAATAAATACGAAAAAAAACAGAAAAGTTTGACCGTTGGTGTATATCACACGTAAACAGGTTTAAACTTGTC